CTTCACTGTGTTTGGCATTTCTCTGCCTAAACACTTTCCCTGCTTAAACAAGTAGCAACATGGTTACTTGTTACGTTGCAAATTATAGATGCTACACTTCATTGCACCTCGGCAGACTCCTTGTTGCAAATGGTTGGTGGAGCTATGGAGGGGGTGAGTATAAGTTCAGGTTAGCCTACAACCATAGGCATGCTTACTGAAAGTATGTTTCAGTGAAATCAATGAGATGCTTGGTCATAACCAGTGAAGTGGGAATGAAAATTTTCTTCTGTACTTGCTTCTCCACTGAAATTTTACCATTTATAGATATGTATAGTTTTATGAAATTAATTAGTAAAATTATGAATGTGTACAATACCAATAATATTTGGTGATCTAAAATCAAAGCTTTTAACTTTTTTCAGGTGACTATCCCTAGGAAGTACTGTTTCTTTATACATTTGGCTCTTAAAGATTCAGTGCCTCACATTATTTACAGTTTAAGAAGTTTACATTATTTACAGTTTAAGAAGTAGAACAAAGTAAGGGAACTGATGGGAGTTGTAGTCCAAATATTCTGGAAGGCACTGGGTTGGAGATGGCTTGCTTACAAAATTGTGCATCATGTGGAAAAAGAGGACAGAGAATTTCTCTCCTTGTTCGTAACACAGAAATTTGGAATCAGCCAATGAGATTAATTGATAGTAGATTCAGGATTCGAAAAAGCAAGTGCTTCACAGAATGAATAATTAGCTTTACAGAATTTCCTGTTACAAAATGTGATGAGTGCCATGAGCTTTAGTCACATTAAAAACAGCTTAGACAGGTTAATAACTGCTATTTAGCATTGTAACACCATTAAAAAAAAAAGGATTTGGCTATTTAGAGACTGGTTAGCTTAACATTTGTTCCAGGAAAACTGGTGGAAATCATTATTAAAGTTAAGATTACCAAGATTACAAGTTTTGCTGAAGAAGAAGGAGTGTGGGTTCCAAAAGGTAAGTTGTATCTAAATTTTTATTGGAGAGTGTCAAGAACATGTGAATAATTAGTGGACATTGTGTACTTGGAATTCCAAAAAGCTTTTGATAAAGTTCTTCTCCAGAAACTTTTGACTAAGTTTAGCAGTCATTCTACAGACCCTCTCAGGAAGGTCTCTTAAAAGACCAAGATGCAGAGAGTAGGTATAAACAGAATGTTCTCACAATGGAATGATGTATGAAGTGAGATCTCCCAAGGATTTGTAGTGTGACTGGTGCCTTCTAGGTGTTTAAAATGAAAAAGGGCTGTAAGCTGCTCCAAAAGGACTTATTCATACTGGGTGAGTGGGCATTAAAATGGCAAATATGGTTCAGTGTAAGGAAGTATAATGTGATGCTCATTGGATCAAAAAGTTCTAACTTCACATGTATGCCAGTGGAGTCTGAACTGGCAGTGACTGACCAGGGAAGAGATATTGATTGGAGCCATGGTGGATAGTTTAATGAAAATGTGGACTTAGTGTACGTCAGCTGTGAAAAGGGTGAATTAGAAAAGGGATTGAAAATAATTTTGCCAATATAATAATATACAAATCTGTGACACAGCCACACTTGGAATACTCTGTACAGATGTCGCCACCGTATCTCAATAAGGTTATAGTAGAGCCAGAAAAGATTCATAAGAAGGTAACCAAAATGATCAAGGGCTGGAGCAGTTTCTTCATAATGGAAGGCTATCTGCATCATTTGGGGCTTTTAAAAAAAAAGCTGTAGCAGGAAAGAGTGTGATAGAGGTATATAAAATTCAGCCCAGAGTAGAGAAGGTTGATATGAAGATGTTTCCCTCTTACTTTCAAAATATTCGAACCCAGGGTTAACCGATGAAGCTGAATGTTGGAAAATTCAGGACAGATAAAAGGAAGTTCTTCACACAGCACAAAGTTAAAGTATAGAATTTGCAGCCACAAGATGTAGTGATGGCCATCAACTTGGACAGCTTTAAAAGGGGATTAGACAAGTTTAAGACTATTCATTGCTGCTAATCATGATGTCTGTGTACTACATCCAGTATCGGAGGCATTGAGTGAATGAGTTGGCATCCATCTGTCTCTGGAGACAATGGAAGAGTGCCGATGAAGAGTTTTAGCACATGTTGTGACTGTAGAGACCAATTGAGGCAGATGGAAGTGTTTTGGTTTACCTGCTACAAGTGCACCATGGCGTTCCTTCTGTTTGTGCTCCTTCCGGTGGTCATTCTTCCTTTGGTCACTGCTGTGGATACCCGACCTGACTGCTTGTCTCCAGGTACTGCAATCATCAGCAAGGGATTCCCACATGGCGGCGTTAATGTTGCCAGCCTTCATGTCAAGTTTGCAAACATCTTTATAGGAGTTGGTCTGCCACAGGCCTAGTGACGGAAGCCAGCTCCCTGTAGAGCATGTCCTTGGGGATCCTGCCATCTTCCATTCTGTGTACATGACCAAAGCAGCGTAGATGTCACTGGGACAGAAGTGCGAACATGCAAGGAATGTGTGTTTGGGAGAGCATATCTTTGTTTGAGACTCTGTCCTGCCATGTGATGCCCAAATCTTCCTGACCAGCACATATGAAAGGCATCTTAGGCGTATATCTCTGCTAAAAATTGTAAGTGTGGAGAGTGCTATTGCACTCAGGTCCTAATGGGCCTTTGGCTTGATCCAGCAGGATTGTTCTTATTTGCCAAGAATTGAAAATGAAACCAGTTGCTAGAGGCAACAGCAGGGGAGACCTGCTGCTTTCAGGCCCTACTGATGGGTGACAGTAAGAAAAAGGATGACAGGATGTAGACCAGTGGTCTGATTCAGCAGTGCTGTACTTTTGCAGACACTGCATATTTTGACTTGATGGGGTTTGCGGAGAATCTTCAGCAGACTTGAATGAATATCTCTTCTTGGTGTGTCATGAGATGCCTTCCAGCAAGGCTTATTTATTGGACAAAAGGTTATAAAATGTGGAAGTTTCAATTGCAGTATCCTTATAAAGGTAACTACGTGTCTTTCTATGAACACAGATGGGAATACTTCACGTAACTGAGAAATTGGGGAATATGTATTAAAACCATGTGTTTCCATACTCCTTTCTTAGCAAAGGTATGGGAGTGGATGGGATGCCGTTCTTTCCATACCTTCTTCATACTTAATGTGCTGTTTCCCTCTCCATGAATGGGATTCAGTGGAGCTTTTGACCCTCTGCAGTTTATAGTGGGAAGAAGAAAACAAAGACATAACATGTTTCCTAACTGTATTTAATTTTGACAATAAATGTATCATGTGGTTAAACAGATCCTCTGGTGACCCAGCATCCATGCAGTCTTGTGCTTTACCTGCTCTGTCTTAATCTTACTAGTGACTTAAATCAACCCACATATATTGGTTGATTATGAGTGGCTAGTTGTGCAAATTCATCTGCAATGGTACTTCTGTTGTAAATATTCCATTCCAAGTGTTCTCTTGTTAGGAGAGGCTTCAGAATGTAAAAACCAGGCTTTTGTCCTAATCGCTAAGGAGTACCTAAAATGATTGATTATGCACAGAGTGCAATGAGTGGCAGCTGCTATTTTTCAATGTTTTTCCTTCATCCTGTGTTGATGTATCTGACAAAGGAGTTTCCATGAGGCTTCATTTGTCATCTTCATGGGCAGCACGCTAATAAGCATTTGGTGAACATTTATATCTGGATAATCTAAGCAGCATCCGACAAGGGAGCTAAATCTGATACAGTTGTCAAGGACCTGTGCTGTACCAATTGGTTTCTAGTGCACTGAGAGCTGCTGACCCTACATTGTATTGAAATGTAGCCTTGAAGTGTGTGTGTCTTTCAGTTAAACCAGGTTTGGAGAACCTTTGGCCCTCCAGAAATTGCCAAACTACAACTTCCATTTTCCCATGCCATTTGTCCTGCTTGCTGTGGCTAATGGCAATTGTAGATAAGCAATATCTGGAGGGTCAGAGTTTCCCCACACCTGATCAAAAGCGAGGTTTGTGTTGGCAGTAAGAAAAAATAAGCACCAGAAGGCTTGTCAAGGGCAGGTAGCAAGGCCTAGCTGGTTGCATGCAAACTGGGAAATTAAACTTTATAGGTTAAACAGAATTAGTTTGTCTGAGTCAATAAATACAATAGGACTGCGTCCTTCATTATTACCATGTATAACAGTGTGTAATGATTGCATCCTCTATTGAAGGTGCCATTTTGTTCCCTTTTTAAATTTCCAGAGATAAGTGTTGCCACTTTTACTTAAGCTGATTTTAGATGTAGGGTCAAATCATGGGCACAATGTCTTAATGCAGTCTTAAGCATTATTGGTTAATACAAGCACCTTGGGTACATACATGACATTGTGATAAGAAAGTTGTAATTTGCTATGATCCAAAGAACATAGAAACTAGTTCCATGAGCCCAAGGGAGCTTTGGGCTGGCGTATCTTGAACAGTAGCCCCCATCTTCTGCAATGCTATATAGAATGCCTATTGGGAAATAGAAGGAAATTTCAGGAGTTATTTGTGATTTGGCATAGAGGAATGCCCTTTCAAAGAAGAAAAAATAAAAAAATCATACTTGTCACACCAAAGTCCATAAGCACACTCAGGTTAACTCTTTTATTCCTGGCTATAGTTTGTGGGTCTGACATAGATTATCTATATGTACTTTATATTTTAAGGAGAAATAGCATTTTTTATCCTATTGAAATTGAAGTTAATGCTTTCCTTAGGCCTGTACTGTTGTTTGAGATGTCGTAGCAGCATGCATAGTGCATAACCAAGGTCATTTACTCTGGATCGGTTGTCTCAGGTATGAGGAAGTACAATTTCTTGTCTTTAATGTAGTTTCTTGTCTTAGATCCACCAATCCGGTGACCCATCTGATTTAATGGCTACCGGAACCCTGCTAGCTGTACAGGTTTCCTTGTCTTTCTAACAACATTAGGAGTGCATATTGGGATTTCGTTCAAGAAAAGAAGTAGATACACCAAGCTGAAGATGATTGGCTGCTCTCTTTTGACAGACAAGTGTGAAAAGGAAACCCCATTCGAATTTCCATTCATTCTGGATTGGTGGATCTGAAGCACAGAAACAGAGTTTCAGGTAAGAAATTCCCTGTACTCAATAGTGTTACAAATGCAGAGTTTGGTTAACCAAAACTGGCTGCATAGAGTTTATAAAAACATTTAAGCCGTATATGATGGCAGGTCTGTTCAGTGTATTTATTTCACTATACCGCTTTCCTCCTGGATAAGATTCCTAAATCATTTATCTCCAATGAAATGTCATTGGTAGATCTGAGTAAAATATGTGATTCTCTTAAATAAATAAGGAAAGTCTGTTGAGGTCTAGTTTATGACTTTGTAGTCTGAGGGCTGGATTTTACTATCATTTTAATTTGAACAGCTGGTTGTAAAGTGTTCATAAACTTGGTAGTTCATGGCGTACAAAAACAACTTTTAGCCAAATGAAAGCAGCTTGATTTTTAAGTACAGTGGTATGACATGTTTTGTCTTACCTTCGGAGAGTTGGAAACAACTTTGACAAGCTTACAGTCACCAACAGTGTAATCCTATGCATGTTCGCTCAGAAGTAAGCCCATCTCTCTGAAGTGGAATTTACTTCCCATTAAGTGTATTTAGGATTGCAGCTCTATTTTTAAAGCTGTTTAGACAAAGCTCTGTACAAGGCTAACTTGTGTACCCCTTGTTTTCTGGTAGCAGTGACCAAGTTTTCATTTTGGAAACATTTTTTAAACTTCGAATTTAGCGTTGCATGATTCTCTAGCCTGGGCTGAAGAAAGTGAGAAAACGTTTAAAGATTTAGCATTGCAGATCCACAAAAATAGCTAGTTCACCATTTTTAAAAACGACCGGGTACTCAGTTGTAGTGAAACATTTCCCCAGGCCTTTTGTTAGTTTTTTATGTGCTCCCACAGGTGTTTGAAATTTGGTCCTATTTATGCAAAATGCATGTGGTAAAATCTGCTGCACTCAGGTTTGAGTTCATTTTTCACTACAATAAGTCAGTTGCACACTATAAAGTCTAAAACAATAGTGTGGCAATTTGAAATGATTTGTTTTCACTTCTAGCGGTTACTACTCTGGAAGTTGTTTCATACAAAATCATTCAGGCCAATCCTTACTACTGGTACTGAAAGAGGTCTAAGAAAGAACAGTTCTTGATAACACCCCCCCAGCCATTTATTGTTATTTGAGAAAATTATTTCCGGCTTACAATACCGTTCTGATCTCCTGCCTTCTGAGCCACATATTCTTTCTCCACTGGTCTCTGTTTGACACTGATCCTCATATATGTAAGTAACTCCATTTGATAAGGGGATGAATTGAGTGAACAGCCACTCTAAAACACGGAAAAGCTTGATTCAGATGCCAAGCCAAACAAAGTGTTTGGAAAATGGACCTGTGCTGGCACTTTTAAGTACCTGATGATTGCATCTAGGTGAGTTTTGAAATACCTTTTGCAGTTTGAAAGACAGCCCCCCCCGTGGGGGGGGGAAAAGAAGAGAGCAAATCGCATAATGTATTTTGGGGTGAAGCCTCTAAAGGCTACTCTGCAAAAGAAATTGAAAAATCCAATAGGGGTTGCAGAAATCTATTCTATATAGTTGCTTTAAAAGCTGTTTTGGCATTTGACTCTTAATTTTCAAAGGGAACAGTATTTTGGAAACATCTGCTCCATTCCCATTTTAGAGCATGATAGGCTTTTGCCTAAGGTCATTCTTAGATGCATGTTCTTACATTGGATGAGGAATCTCCTGATCCTGTGTGCTTCACACTCTTCTGCTTTTCTCTTTTGCTGTGACAGCTGGATCTGTTGCTGGACAAAATTGCTGATTCACTGATTTCCTCATCCCTCTTCCTTCTATAGCATGAATCACGAGGCTGCATAAAAACTGCTGCTTACTAGCTTTGTTTTTGTAGACTCTAAACTCTTGGCTGTGCTATGAGTTTTGTTCCTACTACAACTTGTTCGGATTCCTTCTCTTGAGGAATCTCTTGATAGACATTTTACTATGTTTTTATATGTGTTGGAAGCTGCCCATAGTGGGCATCACCATCATCATTGAGGAATCACTGTTTATCTGTAGTACTCCTCGTCCATTTCCCATCTGAATGGTCCATGCTTACAGCAGCATTTTTTACAGTTGTGTTAGCCAAAGTCGCTACTGGCCTTGAATGTATTCAAGTGCTTGAAGCCACCCCTTTCTGTTTGTTTTTTTCTAGACAGGGCTGGGGAACCCATGGCCCTCCTGTTGTTGTTGGACTAGAACTCCCATCAGCCCCAGCCAACATGGCCATTGGTCTGGGATGATGGGAGTTGTAGTCAACAACATCTGGAGAGCCAAAGGTTTTCCATACCTGTTTTGGACACTCTTATTTCTAAGATTGTCGTTTATTTGCTACACCCCAAGCTTTTCCAGAATCAAATCCAGTCAAGTTGTTGTCTAAAATGGCAGCTTACTCTAGATCAGAGTTTCCCAAACTTGGTTCTGTTTTTGGATTACAACTCCCATCATCCCCTAACTAATTCCTGAAGTGGAGGAAGCTATACTTCTTAGATAAGCATGCTTTTGTATGAAGGTCTAGCAGGAGTGGGAACATTTTTCAGCCTCAGAGCTTCATTGCTCATTCAAGTTACAGGGAACCAGGCAGAGGGCCTTCTTGGTAGTGGCGCCCTCCCTGTGGAACGCCCTCCCACCAGATGTCAAAGAGAACAACTACTACCAGACTTTTAGAAGACATCTGAAGGCGGTCCTGTTTAGGGAGGCTTTTAATGTTTGATGTAGTACAGTATTTTAATATTTTTTTTTGGAAGCCGTCCAGAGTGGCTGGGGAAGCCCAGCCAGATGGGCGGGGTATAAATAATAGATGATGATGATGATGATGATGATGATGATTATTGCCTTCTGGGCAAGCTTTCCTGGCACATATGAGAGAGTGGGATCAGAGGCAAATCTGAGCAGAGCAATGTGTATAAATTTTACCTTTGTACAATAGTCTAGTTTCTACACTCACACTCCTCTTTATCCTCCACCCATAGCTGTCAACGTTTCCCTTTTTTAAAGGGAAATTCCCTTATTCCGAATAGGATTCTTCGCAAGAAAAGAGAAAAGTTGACAGCTGTGCCTCCATCCAGGCAAGCAAGAGTCAATTGAAAGCACACATTCGAACCAGGCAACAACACTTGGGTAGGGTGTGAGGCAGGGAAGAGCTATGAATGAGGGGTGTGGCCTGGGAAGAGCATTTCCAGTTGGAGAAATTCAAGAGGGCCAGATAGAGACTCCAGGAGGACCATATTCAGTCCCCAGGCCCGAGGTTCCCAACCTTGATCTCTAAATTTCCAAGGTTTATTTAACCCAGATCTTCACTTTGCAACCTGTGGAACTAGCTTTTTTTTGATGAAGAAAATTTCCTTGCATGCTTAAAGAAAACACACTTAGTTGATTCACTGGGGAAAATAAATTTACATATACTTTATAGATACAAGGATCTGTATATTCAGGCGGTTCCCTCCATCTGTCCCACTCCTGGCAGTATGGGAGTAATGACAGTGGCTTATCTTACAGAATTATTGTCATGATTACAGCAGCATGTATGTTACATAAATGCCTATATTAGAGCCTGCATCTGATGGCTCAGGGTTAATTGTTTGTACGTTCAGTTTACATTTTATGGTAACACATACACACCAATTAGACAGGATTAAACAAGTCAGGTGTGTGTTTTTTTAAAAAAATCTGACAATCACGGAAACATTTTAACACAGAGCCATCAAATTAAGTGAAATACAGCTGTGGGCAAAATAGATTCCTTGACAATTACACGCCACATTTCTTGTAACATTGTACAATCACAAAGAATGCCTATTTACTTGTACATGCTGAACCATTTTTCATATTGCAGAACACTAAAGTAGAAGTAAAACCTCAGAGGATGCTCTTAAGTTGGTCACATGCAGTCTGGGGATGGATGGAGTGTCTCTTGTGTCTTTGGGAGCGATTTGCCAGGTGTGGGTTTACATTGTCCAGCTGTGCATGCTTGCACACACACACACACACACACACACACACACACACACACACAGTACAGTACAGTACAGTACAGTGACAGCAGGAGACAGACATGGGAAAGAATGCACTGATGAGTCTGGGCTTGGGGCCAAACTAGACATGATGGTGACAGGCCTATGACTTACCTCTCTGCAATCTGTCTCTCTTGGGTACTCTTCAGTGTCAGAGCTTGGCTGAAAATCAGCGAGCTCAGCTAGGAGGAAAGCATTTGAGAGGAGAGGGTATGGAGAGATGATTGACTGTTGTGGGCCACTTTCCTCACCTGCTTGCCCCATTTTCCTTTGAAATGCTCTGTAGGGGTGTGGCCTGCATTTAAACAAATGGATCAGCTACTATTGTGTGTGCCATTTGACCTGTAAGGGAGCCCTGGCAGCCTGGTTTTGGAGACTGTACGACAGAAATGAACAATCCATTCAGTTGTTGCATGTGAGAGGAGCAAACCACCAACACTGGCTTAGCACTGTGTTCACACCAGGAATCACGGTTTCCATTGTTCCAAACAAGCCAAGGTTTGCTCTTTGCTTCCTGATCATGATTTGTTTGATCAAACTAAACCAGAATTCTTGGTTCAGACACAGCAAGTCAAGCAATTACTGGTTTCACTTGCACTAGAGGAGGAGCAAGGTGGGAATGACATTAGTATTCACGATAAAGCATATGATTAGCATATGATTTCATGTGATGTAAAAACTGGGTTACTAGCCTTGCTTAAGAGCTAGCGATTAAGGGGTTTAGGGGTCACCAGTGCCTTTCTTAGCTTGCTCTAGTTTTTCCATACTACAGAGTGTTGAGCTGCATCAAGGAAAGAAATGTACCCATTGCTGTTTGAGCTGTTCCTACATTTTGGTAGCATAACTCCTGACAGATAGCGTCTGGAGGCAATATTCCTCCTGCTGCTGGTCCCTTATTGCTCACAATTCTTTGCAAACAACATGTTTTTATATCAGTTTTAACTTTGAAACGTTACTGCGTTGGGTGATTTGCAAAGTTAAAGTTTTAATGCAACTAC